AAATGGTAAATTGAAGGTATGTAGTACAGCTTGTGGCTTTATATGGCTTTACTTCACTAAAGTTGTCAAGACACATTAGGCTGTATAAGCTATTACTTGGTGTTTTATTCCTTGAGTCATTAAATGGTACATTGAAGGTATGTAGTACAGCTTGTGGCTTTATATGGCTTTACTTCACTAAAGTTGTCAAGCCACATTAGGCTGTGTAAGCTATTACTTGGTGTTTTATTCCTTGAGTCATTAAATGGTACATTGAAGGTATGTAGTACAGCTTGTGGCTTTAATATGACTTTATATGGCTTTACTTCACTAAAGTTGTCTAAGTTTGTTTCTGCCGCAAGAGTGGTTGCAACGTCGCAGTTCTAATTGCATAATAAAACATTTCCACTGTGAAACTGATCACGATATTAAATTTAAGTAAACAATTTATGGTAAATAACTTGATTTTTTAAATGTGCTTGATAGGTAGATTATTGTACATGTGTTTATTGTTTTAGAGGTAATATCAACATTATATATTATTCAAGAGTTGCTCCTTTTTATCTTTATACCTTCGATTTAACTTGTAGCTCTTGCACAATAACATTTTAAGTGATACTGTTATGGTGGGAATTCTCAATTATTTACCTGTTAACAACTGCCCTTCTCGACAACTATCATTTTCAGGTGGAACTGATAGGCTGGGTGTTTTCAATTATTTATCTGTTAACAACTGGTTTTCTCGACAACTATCACTTCTTTACTTTTTCCCCTTCACGTTAATGATATTTCAATTCCTTTACAGATATTTTTTGTTTTATGTAGCTTGAAAAGAAACTGTTCAAACTACTTACTGTGTTACGATGATACGGTATTATTTTTGCCCCCTTCTAATACGATTTATCCTGTGCCACATTTTTCCTTTTCCTAAGAATTATTATTTATTTGTTTTGTTTTGTCACAACAATCACAGACGCATATTATTGAATTGAATTGGTTATAGTACAAAGCAGAGGTTCTCAACTTGTGAGTTTCTCGGTGGTTCAGTGGTAAGCTACCGGGATTACAATCTAAAACCCGTGGTTCGATTCCCCGCGATAGATAATGTGCAGGTAGCCTAATATATAGCTTAGTATTAAAAAAACAATAACAATTCAATCCAAAGTTATCACGGAAGATTCCATTATAAACCCGAAATTTGAGATTTTTAAACTCGGCTACAGAAGTAGCTGGAAGCTGTATGTAACTCTGCGTACATTGATAATATTTCAAATGATAAAGTTGCTTTCATTGAAAAAACTATTGAAAGCTTCTTTGTGTTTTTAGGATGAAATCGCACAGTAAGTTATTTTTGTTCTGTCCACGACAGAGAATTCAACCCTGGTTTTTAGCGTTGTAAGTATGTTAATTTACCACTGACCCAAAGGAAGACACACTTGAAAGTACCAGTTTCTTTTCAAAACTTTTGAATTAAAAACGTTGGTAAAAACGTTGCGAGATTCAATTCACATAACAATAATGAAATAGTTTACTTCTCTCGTATCTTTCCTACAGGCTACGTTCACGCTGACAAAACTCGCAGTCGTAGGCCTAAATTGACAAGTAAGTTATCAAAGTACACTCCGCAACTAAATGCACTTACGTTCAAATATAATGTTTCAATATAAATTGCAATACCGGCTTCTACCTTTAATAAGTAAACCAACATGTAACTCACCAAGTAACTGAATAAAGAATAACAGAATAAATGCGCTAACTTTGAGACACTGAACTGCTTTGCTGATTACTCACTGAATTCTCAATCATTATCAACATTTTCTCAATAAATACTTCACTGACTGACTGGCACTTTGACTCTAGCTAACTGCTT